CCCAATAAATAACCATTTTCCCTCAAATTGTCAACCTACTCTTAAAACCCCTGCCATTTAAACTCAAAGGGGAGGATCATTTTGGGATGCAGGGAATATATATTAGTTTAGAATATAAAAACACGCCCCACCCCCAAACCCCTCATCCCAAACATACCCTTATACTGATGAGATCTGTATGCCGAGAATACGTAATATGAAGCTTGCAAAATCCTCCTTCATAGATGCAGTGTCCTTCCAATGCTTCCTTTGCAGAAGTAGCTGTCTTGATATCTGTTTAAAAATACTTAATAATCAACATCTATAACGTAGACAGCTAATGAGACCTATTGATTATATTTAGCCCACTAAAGCAGAACTCATTTCATCATCTGATTCTCAAATCTACTAAAAAAATAAAATTAAATATAACATTTAGCAATTACAAGCCAGCAGCATACTATTTTACTCAAAACCATTCTTACACATGACTATAACAACTATCGTATGACATTGGTGTTTCAGGATATATTTCATGGAAGTGAAAAGACCTATAATGATGACGTTTTTTGCATTTCTTTGCATTGTTCCTTCGTAATAAGGTTATAACAAAATGGTCATCCAGCGTACAACTCTTACAACAAAAGGGTTGCACCAAAGATTGGCATCGACTATTCCTATAAAAGACTGTCATGGATATCAAAGTGTTGACACTTAAATGAATGAGTATATGATTTAAAAGTTAGGCGAATGAAAAAAAATTACTGCACTACAAAAGGATTTTAGTGGACGGCCTTTGAAATTTTTTTTACTCGGCCATGTAGTGGGTCACATTAATTTGGGAATAAGACTTGGCTGGTGTATAGCTTCATGGAACCACGATTCTTCAAAATGGTTAAGTCTACTACCCCTTTTATTTACCATGCATAAAGACAACATAACCATTAGGAGGTGGAAAAACAAAATTCAATCTCACACAAATCCGAGGAGAGAAAGATGAAACAAGGGGAAAGCAAAGGTACTCGCTTTGCACAAATTCAAATATTTATAGTGGTTGGTAGCCCCCAGATAGTAAGGACTAAGGAGTAATAACCAATAACTACTCCCTCTGTCCAGAATTATTTGTCCACTTTACAAAATATCTCATTTTTAACGAGTTTAAGATATCATAGAGGTTCCTTAAATTAGTTTGTCATTCATTGATGTCCACAAAGTTAATATGCTATCTAAAGGGAATTTAGATAATCCATCATTATATTTTATATGTTCACTTTTACTAAATATGAAAGTGGACACTTAATTCCAGAAGGCACAAAAACAGGAAAGTGGACAAGTAGAACTGGACGAAGGGAAGGGAGTTATAAATAGAGCATTGAAGGATAAAGATTAACCTTACCAGGATATTGGATCAAAGCTTGGAGACCTCCATTCTTATCGAACATAGCAATTTTTAAAACAGACCCAAAAGCTGAAAAAACCTGACGTGGGGGAGATAGACATTGGTGAATAAAATGGATAGTAGATAATTGAGGAATTTCAATGCTGAATGTACGTATTTACTGTGTGCAGGACATCCAAGGTTACTGTATATTGCATGTTCTCAATAGCAGCAAGAAGAACATTACTCTCTGGCTCCAACTTCTTTCCATCTAAACCAACACAAATCTGCAATTACAACAATCAGAAGACAGAAATTTAAAAAGAAAACCATTGAAGTGCTTTGCTCTATCATTTTAGTTGTTTTGGGGTAGAATGGGGTGGGGGCATAATGGGTTGACAAATTTTGGCTTTCCTTTCATCACATTTACCCATTTAGTCACTTTCGTACACATGTTTTCAGTTATGTTTATTTGTCTATCGCGCTTGGGTTATTCATATAACTTTGGTACACTCATTTAATCTTAATAACTCGTGATAAGGGCTCTCCTGGGCGAAGGCGTAATCACATTTACCCATTTACTCACTTTCGTACACATGTTTTCAGTTATGTTTATTTGTCTATTGCGCTTGGGTTATTCAAATAACTTTGGTATACTCATTTAATCTTAACAACTCGTGATAAGGGCTCTCCAGTGCGAAAGTGCAAGAGGCTAGGAGTAGAGGTAGGTCAAAGAAGCATTGAGGTAAGACCAGACTTGCAGCTTAAGGAGCTCACCTAAGGCATGACCCTCTATATAAGAACATTTGGCAATCGAGGATTACAATTGTGGGATAACCGGCTTACCATTACCTGTTTTGGTTTATTGTTTCTATTTTTTGTTTCCCTCTATTTGTGGACGGCATTGACCTGTCTTTTGTCTTTTGTGCTTGAGTCGGGGGCAGGGAGTCTTTCGGAACCAGCCTCTATACCTTTTCTAGATGAGGCTAAGGCCTGTATACACCCACCCCCGCCCTCCCAAACCCCATTCGTGGGATTTTACAGGTAAGTTGTTAGTTGTTATGGTGCTTGCGTTACTCATAGGTAGGTCTTTACCCTAAGAAAGATTGTGAGTGCCCTCTCAATCTCTCACATTCCCTTCCTCTTGCAATAATGTTTACACTTTTCTTTTTCATCCGTCCCAAAATAAATTAGACTTCTCATCTCTTTTCAAGAAACAATAATGTGGCTCAATGGAATCAGAAACTCCTATGGGACATTGCCAATAAAAAAGACATTCTGTGGGTTAAATGGATTCACAACAGATACTTGAAGAAGGAAACCATATGGAATATTTCACCGAGGCCTGGGTTCTGCTTCTATCTGAAAAGACTTCTAGCAAACAGGGAGCTATTCCATGGGATGGATGAAATGAAGGAATACGAGGTGAGTAAAGGGTATGAGTGGCTAATGAAGGAAAACACCTGTGCACAAGGATACCAAATAGTGTGGAATAAACTTACCATGCCCAAGCATCAGTTCATCCAGTGGCTAATCTGGAAAAACAGGATCCCCACTAAAGCTAGACTGAGCAGATTTATGAACATTGATACCACTTGTGTCCTTTGCAAGAGTGCTATTGAAGATAGGGATCATTTGTTCTATGAATGCAGATTCACTAAAGAGGTACAAAATCATATTGGTCAATGGATCAGTTACAGATTACAAGTAGGGAATGATGAAGAATGGCAAAAGGAATACTGGAAGATTAGAGGGAGGAAGAGAAGGCAAGCGGTGGCAGCTGCGTTTGCAGCTACTTGCTACACTGTCTGGAGAGCAAGAAACAAATGGATCAAGCTACAGGAGGAAATGTCAATTGAGGACTGCTGCACGTTCATTAGATATCAACTTAAAACATATATTAATGTTAAGCTTAAATCCAACCATCTGTCATAATAGATAGGTTTGAGAGTAGGCATAGAGATGAATGATGGGGTGTTGCTGTATTTATAAGTGTTTGCGGTTTAATAATATGAGCATTTGTTCAAAAAAATAATGTGGCTCATAGCATTTATTTCCTCTAAACAAATTCCAACAATCCAACCATAAAATTTTTGCTTTTCAATACTTTTCTTAAGCTTTGTAATGCCAAAGCGTAATCTTAATGCGAGACAGATGGAGTATAAGTTATTCCATACATTTCTCAATAAGTGTTGCATTTTAGCTTTGTACATGAATACACAAAAAATAATGAAGAGAAATTAATTCAAGGCAAGATTGATATGATTCAAAATATGCTTTATGAAACTCTTCACATGATACTAATTTAGAAACAAAAGATTTTCACGAGGACATAACTTGATCAGAAACGGAGTGAGTAGTATTTTTTGAAGATTTTACAATGCATCGAAGACACAGCAATGCATCATTAGTGCACTTAAATAAAGAATGCATCCTATCACTACATAGTATCAGTAGGAAAAACTAATAATTGGCCAGCTGGGCTACTTTTTATTCAGAGCACTTATTACTACCTGACCACTTGCATCAATAGCTGAGGGAGCAACAGGAAGGAGAGGATTTGTGTAATCCCTAAAGCAGAACAAGAGCAAGATAAATGGATAAAATGATAAACCATCAACATTACATTAAAATGAAAAAAATAAAAATAAAAATACAGAGGTAGCACTTTCTTCACATCTACACAAATTAAAGTGACTGCTTACCTGCTACGATGACTCTGAAATTTTACGCTCAAATCTGTGTGAGCAGAATATGTGATTTTGAGACTACATGGTCCAAGTTCTTGAATTAAATAGCTGATCAACATCAACGGTAAACTGGAAATGTTAGTCCTAAACTGATGGGGCATTTAAATGATTAATGAACAATAATAAAGTACAGTTTTAATAGTAAATTATCAAGCATTGTTATTTCCTTTCTGGCGGAAAAAATTTAATATCGTTACATAGAGCAAAGTTTGTTGCAAAATTTGCGAGAGTAAACCTCATTTGATTAGCTCTTGGTAAGATCCACGGCGTCCACCAATTCATATAGTCAATGAATATCAAGAGTTTTAAAACATTCTAAGCATGCATATACTTGCATATAACTCTTGTTTATTCTAATATAATAACAAAAATAGAGCATTCTATGCATCAAGAATATATTATGAATGCCAGCTATCAGTTTCTGAATCATCCAACTTAAGCTAAAGCCTAAAATCTTTTCCAGCACACAGAGATTACTACTGGTGTGTTTCCTTACGCAACTAAAAACCTAAACAGCAACTCTTCTAGCAGCAATCAGCGATTCAAAGTGGCAAAATAGTAAAGAACATTAAGGGGAGACCCCGAATCAATACTCGTATCATTCGAGAATGAATGGGGTTTTAATAGCCAACCCCAAGTTCCTTGGGATGAGGCTTAGTTGTTGTTTGTTGTTTTAAGGGGCTAGAAACATGCATGTACACATTTGGAAGATTGTTAATAAAGAATCTTAACAGACATCCAGCCCGAATATAGATGAACCACATCTGCAGCTGAGGATCAACAACAGTTGGTTACACCCCAGCCAAAATATATACATCCAACATCACCTAGGAATGCTTCTTCCATCAAGAGCATCCTTTGCAGAAGTAGCAGTTTCTGCATCAGTGAATTGCACCAGAGCCTGAAGAAATGTATAAGTAAGCACTCCATACAAACAGGGAAAGAATGATGCTTTACAACCAGATCAAGTCAACACAATTATACTAACACATAAAATCCCACCTGAAATCCAGCCGTCTTTTCAAATGTAGTGATCTTATGCACAAATCCAAAAGCTGAGAACACCTGGAACCATAATGTCATTTAGCATTGGTGAAAGGAAATAAATAAAAACATCCAGAATACTCAAATCTGGCAAAATTGGAAATCTTGCATATTTCGAAATTACCATCATATCTCTAAGGAAAATTTCCATCATGAAGAAATTACAACCAGTCCGGTATAAATAATTCTTTCTTATCGACCACAGAATAGCACATCGTAACTGGAGTATATGACTAAAGCATCGAAGTATTCTTTGTGAAGATTGTAAATCTATTACTTTGGCCAGCTGAAAATTTCTTGGACTTTTCCGGTCAAAGAAGTTAAACTTTAACCACTTATATATGTTGATAAAAATGTTTTTATAATATAAAGTAGTAGTCCCTCCGTCCCAAAAAACACCTTCACTTTCACTTTTCATCCATCCCAAAAAACACCTTCACTTTCAATTAAAATCTCTTTTACCCCTACTATATATTACCCTACCTATCACATCATATTTATTCACTATTTATCTAACCATCACATCCTATCCTACCCTATAATAAAGTAAGTGCGAATTTGGAAAGATACACCAAAATTACATATTCCTTAAATCCCACCTTTTTCCAAAGTGGAAAAGTTTATGGGACGGAGGAAGCATAAAAATATTCTTTCTTAAAAATACTTTCATAAATGTAGAAAAGCTATAACGTTCACTAAAATATGGAAACTAAAAACATCAGTCAGTGTTTAACAAGTTTGATCTATAAAAAAGTCAAACTTAGAAAATCCCTACGGGAGGGAGGAATTAATACTCTATAACATAAATAATATCCCCCCCCCCCAATATGAACAACAAATTGTGTCTGCATGTGTTGGGGGTGTTTATGATGACTCAGTTCTTAAATGAAAGGTTTTACATGCTCAATCATGCGGCTCTGCCATCGGCATTGCTCATCACCACCGCAAAAAAGAACAAACATAAGTGCTTAAATTAGGTTTTTGAAGGGCATATGAATAATACTCATTCCTTTTTGGCAAATAATTGGGTAGAAAACATGCTATTGATGGGAGAACTGTATAACATTACAAAAAAATATAGGAGCTCTATGACATAAAATTAGTCATTGGTATGCAAATACTCTGTATTAAACAAAGAAATATAGGAGCATGATAGCCTGTGCAATATCTAGACGAAATCTGGAGGAATAATCAAGAATTAACAACAGAAGAGAGAAGAGGGTAGATAGAAGAAGAATATTAGAACTGGAAAAGCCAAGGGAAGAGAGTGAACTGACCATTCTGATCGTTATCTCCAAAAACTGATCTGTACAACTAGGCTAACTAGTATTGATAGGCATGGGTAGAAACCACATGGGTAGAAACCTCTATAAGTAACTAACTGTCCATCAATATTGGGGACCTATGGACTATGAATGGAGTATGAGTCTGTGTTGTTGTTATTGGTATTACAATTAATATTATCATTGTTATTATTATTATTATTACTACTACTACTAGATAGCTTCATTCCATGAAAGAGTCATCTAGCGCATAACCAAATTTTACCCCCATAAAAACACCTCCTTTATTCAATTGGAAGCCGAAGCATTGAAACTTTGAAATTCATTACATTAATTAAAGTATGTTTATAAATGCAAGTAGAAGTAATACTTAGGAAAAAGGGTGATGTGGTTGTATTGTGGAAGCACGGCGGCACGTAAGTCCCTTTTCACGAGACTTGTGGTTTAACATGAAAAATGGTTTAAGAAAAGTAGATTAAAAACAACTGCCTCCATGCAAGTATGCAACCAAATCAGAAGCAATTGTTTTAAAGGTTGTAGCATATATTATTTACACATGAAAGATTTTTCTACTAAAGAGAATTGTAGCATCCCCTCATGTTTATGCAAGGGAGGTTAGTGCGTATAGAGCAACGAAAAGAGAGTATCCTATACTCAAATCTCAGGATAGTCAGATGAGAAGGGGAGAGAAAGAGCAGTGGTAAGCAAAGGAGAAAGGAGACAAACACACATTTTCTCATTTTCCCATGCAATACGCTGCCATTGAAGATATTTCCTTGGCATTGGCCTGCTGATACATTCACATTCATGTCAAAAAAATGATGCTACAAGAAAGCTTGATTTACTACAACCTAAGCACCACAACAATGACAGAAGTTTATTATTTGAAGTATTTTACTTTGATAAATGGGTGTGCAAGGAGCACACAATTACTTACCAAGTGCAGAACATCAATGCTGACAAGACGTGCATCATTTCCCTCAATTGTAACTAGCAGTACATTTCCAGCAACATCTGCTGTGGTTTTGCTGTTCACTATCTCTTGCCTGTTTGAATATTGTAGGTACACGGTTTTCCCCCGCACCTGAGCAGGCTCTGAGGATGATGCATAATAAGATATCATTGCAATTGCTTGGTTTTGTTCTGCCTACAAGAGTAAAAAAAAAATTGAATCAGAAGTTCATAATATAAACAGAGAGATATCAAAGGGTGAGTAAACTTACAAATTCTATAAACGCTTGGTTTCTATTTGCCCCAACATTACACTTTGTATTGACAACTCTGCCAAATGGTTTCCCCAATTCAATCAGTTCCTCCTCCGTGCACTCCCATGGCAAATTTCGTAAATGGAGAACCTTAGATGGGGGTTGTGTGTATCGGAATTGAGGTTGAGTAGAAACAGATGACATTCTGCAAACGTCCAACCTACAAAGAAAAATAGGATTGTATTGTAGTGTTATCCGACTCAGTCACTCAGCTACTCTGTTTTTTAAATTCTAGATTGAAATACAGCGAAGAGAGAAAACTGTATACCATGATACTGCTTTCATTCACTCATCACTTATAAGATATCTAAAAAACATCAAGTTCCATTTGTTCATATTAAACAGAAGAGGTTCATGCTGCTCCATTCTCATCAAAACCTTTGTCATCCAATCATGTATATTAAATGCCAAAATGGTTCGAAGTTCAAAAGATAAAGTAAAAGGTAATTTCCCCACCATTAAAAGAGATTGAAAGGATATGAAGTCCTGAACTTATATCTTGCTCGCTTATAATCTCTGAAGAATTTACAACAAGAACAATTTTGGAAGAATATACTACATACTCCTATCCAAATCATACAAACACTCCAATCAAAAATCTTAAGGAGAACAAAAGTAAACGGGAAAAAAAACTACAGATGTCATCTTCTGGGTGGGAAACGAGAGAAGGAAAGGGTAATTTTAAAACTACAAAGAAAAATGATGTCAATAGAGCAATTAAGAATGGAGGAAATAAAATAGGGCACAAAATTGAGAAGTAATATGATTTGTACCGGGATGTCCTCAGAGATTGGGGCTGGGAGAATGGAAGCCTGGAACAGTGCCGCTATATGCTTCGCTCGTCTATCTTTCCCACAGTCTGCCGCTAAGAATACGAGAAGATTGAACTTCTGGACAAGACACCCTCCGGAATCCGGGGCTCCAAATTATGGAGTACTTCATGCCCGTTTAGAATTTGGATATCTTTAACTCTAAATCATTCATTTTCTATTAAATTCTATAAAAGTTACATAGTTATACATTGTTTTATCTATTCAGTTCCTACATATCAAATATCACTAATTTAGTCTCTAATTATTATACTCCCTCCGTCCCGTAAAACATGGGAGTTTTGATTTTAAAGAGGGATTTAAGGGGAGTGTATTTTGGTATTGAATTTCCAAAAATGTCCTTTGATGTGATGGGTAAAAGTATGATTTGATGGATAGATTATTAGTAAAAAGTATGATGTGATATGTAGGGTATGAAAAAGTAAGGGGTAAAAGTGACTTTTTAATAGAAATGAGAAGTGTTTTGTGGGACGGATGAAAAAAGAAAGGAGAAAGATTTTCTGAGACGGAGGGAGTATCATTTTTCACGAATGGTCCTTTGTTAATGTTTCTGTCAAAAACATTGATACAATTGTATATTCACTCTTCTATCTCTCCTTAATTATATCATTTTTCACGAATGGTGTTTTGTTTATATATATATATATATAATACTCCCAAATTTGTATGCAACACTTTACACTTATATTTAGTAGATTGGAATGAAAAAAAGAAGAAGAAAAAATAATTTTAAAATATTAAGGTATAATTACTAAATATTTCTTAATTTTTATTAATGACAAAAAGTTTATGTATTTTTTGTTTTGAAAGAAAGTATTTTTAGCTATAATTCATATTAATTTTTTTAATATCACATAAATAATCTTGTTTATTTATTTTTTAACCTATTTTTCTAACTTTATTAAACGAGTATATTAGATACTAGTTGTGTTTCTTTTTCTAAATAATTATAAGTTTGAATCAATCATTAAATTAAATATATATTACATTATGCGCGACATATGAAACAACATGATAGGTAGCTCAAGTGGGTGGAAAACTCTATGACACACCATCTGACACAAGTTTGAACCTCACTCTAGGCCAATTTGATTCTAGTTTTATTATAGAAGAATACTACATATATATGTATAATATAAAAAAGTTGGGCCCTTTCAGATGTTGGGCTTGCTCCGGTTGGCCTGCTCGGCCCACCCTTGGGCCGGCCCTGCAAAACACATGTCCCCATACAATTTTAGTTTTTTTTGTTTCAATTATTTAATCAAAATATCTCAACATGGATATTGGCTGATTGTTAAAAATGTTTAGTGAATGTTTGGTTTGACCGGCACGCTGTTTAGTGTAGCTGGTTTGACCGGCAAGATGAATTGGTTGATCGTTAAAAATGTTTGGTAAGATTAGCTGTTTGAAAATAGGTTTTCCTATATATATATACACACATATATATATATATATATACACACGCGCGCGCGCGAGAGAGAGAGATTTATTTTTCATTTTTTTTACATGTAAAAATTAAATCTTTACTATATGGAGTATAAAATTTTAATTTCATTTAATTTATAAGAAATTATTAATATACAACTTTTTAATGATTTTTACTTTTTATTTTCTCATTTCATTTTTTGAAATTTTTAAATTTTAAATTTTATTTTTTTAGTATTTAATTTTTTAACTTTTATTTTTATTTTTTTCATATATCATAAAATATCTTTCAACAAAAATGATTTTAAAAAAATTAATTCCCTAACTGCGAAGTCCAAATGCTACTCCCCTTAGCATTTCAGATTTTGGCTATTCGGATCAAAATGCCAAGTGAAAAAGTCATTAGCCAAACAATGGTTTTGCGTGTTCGCTTAGTCAAAAAAGCCAAAGTCAGTCAAAGATGCCAAAAGCTATCCGAAAAGATGTTTTCCAAACACGGCCGACATAATGGTTTTAAGAGATTTAACACCTTTTTTGTTGTGCAAGTTTTGAAGGTGAAGCAGCTCATGTTGTTAGAAGCGTGATAGCAATTAAATTGTTTCCTCAAAAAAATACATCAATTAAATACTCCCTCCGTCCCAAAAAGATTTACACGTTTCAAAAAAATTGTGTCCACAATCTCTTACCCATTTCTATTAAAAAAACCACTTTTACCCCTTACTTTTTCAAACCCTACCTATCACATCATACCTTTTTCCTAATAATCTACACATCACATCCTACTTTTACCCATCACATCAAGGGTATTTTTGGAAAATCAACACAAAATTATCTCCCCCTTAATTTCAACTTTAGTCAAAATGGGTAACACTTTATGGGACGGAGGGAGTAGATGTTAATCCCTTTTGATTTTTATCTCACCCAGTCAATGTATTTTTTGCCCATTTTCAACTTCTGGAGTACTTATGGACCATTATTTTATATTCATTGCTCATCTTCTTCAATAATTTGACATTGTCAAATTGTATGATTTATTCTTGCTCCATTAATTTTTTTCTCACTTTCCTTTTTAGGTCGTCTAATTTTTTTTCCTGTTTCCTATTAGGGCAAACAACTTTAAATGAATGTTTCATTATACCTCACTTTTTATCTATATTATTCATTTTATTCCATCACTTCAAGAGCAATACATAGAAAATTTTTACACTTTTAAATTTTTTTAATCTTCGTATCAAGTAAAACTGGGATAGAATTTTTTGAACCAAGTGAGTATTATGGAGGTATTTACTGTAATTGCATGACTCTTTGGTGTACTAAAGAATTTGTATATTTACTCTGTATGAGATTTTTGGTTATGGGGGAAACAAATAGCAAGCTGATAGGGTGTATTCTAGGGTGTATTCCAATCAATATAATGGTCTGAAAATATGCTTGAGAATTGAAAGTTTTGTTTTGGGTTAAAATGATCTTTCTCTTTTTATTAATTTTTACTCCTTTTAGTTGGAATGCGTTTTGGATTATTAATTTTTACTCCTTTTAGCTGGAATGCGTTGTGGATTCTCCAACAATGAATGATCCCGATCTGTAAGTGGCTAAGTGCTTCTTCAATGTACCTTCATCACTAGAATCCTTGCTACATAGGTTATCCAAGGTTACATATTTTTATTTTCAATCCTAGAATATAAATGGCGCACTCCTCGAAACAATTCCCGATTAAAGTGTAGACCTGAACCCTGATTTAGGGCTTGTTCTATTCTCCTGATCTGACTGATTGAAATAAGTTTTAAGATGATCTGGTCTCATTGTAGTTATAGTTAATGTTTCATACTATTTCTGATTTCATCTGTTTCTATTTGATCCGATATAATTTGAATAAGAATAAGTAATTAGTAATAACGAATAAGAATAAGTTGAATAAACAAGCTCTTAATGTTTTTTGTTTAATTGAATTCACTAGCTGTTTATTCTGTCTATTTTTGAAGGCAGGATTATAGTTTCAACTTTTAAAAGTCTTTGGTTGCTCATAACTCATAAGCAATGATGGATTTGGCTTTTAACAATCTCTGGTTTATTCATTGGTTTAGGCTTAGAAGCAGAGTGGAAATAGAATAGTCATTTTTGGATGCATAAATAGAGATGGAAATAAGTAATGTGGCTATAAAAATTGAGAATTTGGTTCTATCTTGAAAGTAATCCTATTTTTTATTAATTTGTTTTTTTTGGTTTCCAGAGCATATTAATTAATTTGCCTCTTAGGGTTGTAACTTGTTTGTGTTAATGGGTTCTTTGGGTTAGTTGACTTATTCTTGGAGCATAAAAATGTATGGAGATAAAAAATGTCCTGCTATTGTGGAAGGTGGCAAGAGTTTGATTTCATTCTGCTAATCGAGACAAGTTTTAACCCCATAGCTTTTTGTAGCCACAACTCTTTAGATCAAACAACATTTTGCCTTGTTCTTTGTTATGCATGTTCTTTTTTTGCTATTCCTCCGTTCTTCAAAACAGTTCCTGTTTTGAGTTTTGTAGAATTTATTTTTGTAATTTGACTCTTCAATTAAACTATTAGCGTCGAAAAAAGACGAGTGACAAATTACTTAAATCACTTATTATATCAGTACTTATTATAACAGTACAAAATAGATGGAGTATATTATCCTTGTGTGACATCAACACTTCTCTACATTTCCCTCTTACAAATTTGGTAATTTTTTTGCCTGTGCATGGACTAGTATGTGTTAAAGTAAAATATGCTATCATTGAAGTTTGGCTGGTAAGATATGAAACTTTATTTAGTACCAGAGATTTATTGGGAGAACCTTCAATTGTATTTTGGGTTCCTAATTATATACACACAAACATCTCTGTTTATCTCTTGTACTCCCTTACTTCTTTTTGTGGAAACTCTATGTCGTGTTGCCATTATATATATATAGGTCAAACATGGTTAAATAAACAATGAACCATGTTTTGGTAAAATAGGTTCTATTTTGACCCTACAGGTGAAAATCTCATTTGTTTTGTGAAATGTTGACATTTTGTTGAAATGGAGGCATTTGAGAAGGCAGAGAAAGTGAGCAAAGGGATGTAGAAAATGTATGGGTGTTGGATCACACTTGACCAACAAGAACGTCTTTGTATGGAGTCGGGGTCGGATCGGATGCCGCCGGTCGGCCCCCCTCCTCAACGGAGTGCCGGTGTTTCCTCCACCTCTCCTCCCCATCATCCTCCCTAACAATAAAAGGCACCCCGCCGCGGCCGTCTGATTCAAGATTCATTGCCAACAACAATTGCTCTTGCGACCCGCCCCTCAGTCTCTCCAGCCTCATCACGCCATCGTCTCTCTGCTGCATGCTGAACACTTTGACGACGTTGGCCAAACCGCCAACGAAGAGAAGCAAGCTCCCAAATATGCCCAACCACACCCACGTCCCGCCAAGTAAGCGGATGTGGGGCCCGCCATCATGCTGGTGGTGGGGCCCGCCATCATGCTGGTGGCGGGCTTGGGTGTCTGGGGACATGAGAAAGGATGCCACTAGAAACAACAAACTGGCCATCAAGAACGGAACGTGGACGCCGTGTTGAAGTAGCTGAAGGTGGCCGCCTGCTCTCTCGTATATCTGACACGAGTTGAGGATTGAACCCAACACCCACAGCGCCGGCCCGGCTATCAACAAGTTTA